AAGCAGGGGGAGTGGGAGAGGGAGAAGCAGGCTTCCCTCTGAGCAGGGAGCCCGATGCGGGGCTCGATCCTAGGACCCTGGGATCCTGACCTGAGCCGAAGGCAGCCGCTTAACGACTGAGCCACCCAGGCGCCCCTCACAGTCACTTTTACACAAAACACAAGTTCCCCTTCCCTCAGCAGCAGGCTAACCTTGATGCAAACACAGCAGGTGTCTGCAGCTCCCAGCCTGGCAGCATCTCAGAAAGCGGCCAGTCCCTTCTAGGACCTGACTCTCAGCTGCGGGGCGGAATCACGGGAGGTCCTGCTGCCACACTCAGGCAGGACGTGTGCTCTTTCTTTATTGAGCAGGTCTCTAGCCTTTGCAATGCCATCTGGCACATGGCAGAGCTCAATCGCCAGGGTGACCAAACTCAGATGAGCCCGATCCGAAGCCAGAAAGTTGATCGTGTGCAGTGAGAATGTCCTTCAGGGCCCAATACTTGCTTTCTCTGACTAGTGCCCCTGGAAACTGGCGGGGACACCACATTACGACCAGAAGCTGCTGGGAGGGCTCCTGGTCGCCATACTTGGCTGGGCGAAGTGGCTGGCCGTTTAGGCCCAGGGGCCGAGGGCACTTACTCCATCCCTGTCCCAGGTCTCCCTCTTCAGGATTTAATGACTGTTTGGGATGCTCTGAATCAATCACTTTCTCTGCTTCTCATTCTGGCAGTTATCACATTACCACTGGGCAATCAGTGGTGTCCCTGGCCAGGGCAGGCTGAACCCCAGGTCTGGCACCGCCTGGCCCCAGAGTAGCTGGTTATCAGTTTGTCGGATGATTGAAAATAGACCTAGGATTAGATTCTGGGTTACTTCCCAAACCTTCCAAAATACGATTAAACAAAACACAATAATCTCGACTAAGGTCCCATCTAAAGAGTGGGCTAATGCTACCCACGATATTTGTGCCAATGGTGAAGGAGTACCACGCTCTTGGGTGGTAAAGTCCAAGTGTGCTCGTTCTAGCATGAGCACTGGGCAAGCGCCGCAGTGCCACGGTCCTCAGCACGTCGGGGGTGTGACGGGGACCGAGAGAGGCAGGCCCCTCGTGGGAATCAGACTGCAGTCCTGACTCTCCTGTTCACTAGCTTCAAGACCCGGTACCCATTTCCTCAGTGGTGAAACAAGAGCTGGAGCCTCAGCGTTATTCACGGTGGGACTGGGAGACAGTGAAGAGAAGCTGGCCTATGCGACACTGATTTCTTATAAAGTATTTAAATTCACTGCCCTCTAAGTTAAATCAGTGGTGAAAACAACTTATTCCCAAATACAGTCGATCCTCATTATTCAGATTCTCTATCTGTAAATTTGCCTGGTTGCTAAAGGGTATTTGTAACCCCCCAAATTAGTACTTGTGGTGCTTCTACAG